CGAAAGAAATTCCAGGCACATTATGATTGAGTTATACATTTTTGTTTGGATTTTGTAGTTCAATTGTTCCATATACATTTTGATATTAAAAAAAACCCCTGTGTTCTTCTACCCCAGCTGCTTGTGTTCCATGACAGCAAAGAAGACCTCAGAACAGATGGTTATCCTGCTGTGCTGGGCAAAAACTGGGTGTAAGGTGGTGTTTTTACTGAGGTTTCAGTTAAATGGGAATTATGGGATGTCTCATTCTATTCTTAATTAGACTAATTTGACCCCTGTGTATATCACGTACAGGTCCAGAATAGAAATAGTGCTTTATTTTTTTCCCAACACTTTTTAGCTTTATATGCAATGGACTATTAAAATGACATCCTGTAACTATACATACAAAAAGAAGGGAAACTGTGTATTATTAGTGGCATTTTGGACAAGAAAAGGCAATAAAGAGTAGGGATATTTTCCACAGTCCATCCGTATTTTGTGCACATCCTGGTATACATGAAATGTGGCATATATATTTGAGAAAAAAATTCCTTCTTCCAATACTTCCCAGGCAGGAACCTTTCATGGTAAGTAGTCAGCTAAAACTAGGGTTTTGTGGCAATTTGTGTACGTTTGATTTGGATCCCTCTGTTATGGAGGAGTTTTCTCCCGTTTTCCCCAACTGAAGAACAATTCTGAATCAAAGCTTTTCTGCTATAAAGAAGGTAAGCAAGTCCATTATAGACTGAATATTTCAAAATGGAAAAAAATAGTCAATCAACATTTTTAGGTCACTTCACCAATTGCCTTGAAATTTTACAGGACTTTTGTCCTTTCTCTTCGAAGAGAATAAGAGAACCAATCTAAAGGTAATGCAGGGAGAAAAATCGGAAATTAAAATGTCAGATGCACTTAGTAGTGTCTCCATAAGAAGTACATTCTCTGATTAAATTCTGAGTAGTCAAAGCTTTGTGTGGGCAACATGCTTTTAGGCCAGATTTATGACACTGTGAGAACAGGGTCTGCTTAAGAGCCAAACCTAAGACAGCTTTATTAGCTGTATTTTAATTAGTATTTCTTCCTTGAAAACCCTAAGATAATGCTAAGTGCTTAAATATTCTCAAGCCACTTTATATCGGTAAAACTGAGGCACTGAAGAGAAAAACTAGGAACCTTTAATGGTCTTTAAAACATTATCGAAATTAACAGGCTCTTAACTGGGTGTGAAATACATTTGAGATGCTTGAAGTCTGATATTTTATGGATCAGAAGTGAGTGGCAATAACTATTCTGAGAGAGCTCTGGAGCCCTGAGCGATCTGCGGTCTCTTTGCTGGTGTGTAGGGTTCGCTGACCTGCGCTGAGGTGGGGAACTTCCCATTTTTATCTCATTGCTCAGTATTTACAACCTGGTTTGGGGTTTTCCTAGGGATTTTTAATGGTTGATCAAAGGACAGTAAATGTGGATCACGATATTAAACTGTCTACACCTGAATGAAGTCTTCTGTCCTAAATTCTTGTTCTGTGGTGGCTCCTCAGTCCTGCTGAACAGTTGATACTGGTAAAAATAGCAGGTTTTGAACATAAGTGACAGAATGTTGTTTAAAAAACTAACAAGACTTAAAGTTGTGACAAAACAGTAAGAATTTTTTTCCCGTTTGATTTGTGAAAGTCAAATAGATTAATTTCCTCTTCTTTTTCTAACATCCATACCACTGAATTGTTTAGTTTTCCTTGTATATGCACTACAGGTAAATTCTTGCATCTCTAGCTGCAAGAAGAAAACACAAAACAGGCTTTCTAATGCTTTTTTCCCACCTGTTCTGCAAAAAAAATTATTTTTGCATGTATACAACTTTGCTATTTTCACACTGCTGTACTTGTAAATAAGTTATGATCTCCAAAAGGATATTTCCATTGCTAATAAGATTAGAAATACCTTTGCTGTGAGATATAAATAATTCATTGTTTTTCATGTCATCTGTTTGTAAGCAGAGAAACTTGTGTCTTTTTATTTCTTAAAATAGCTAACAAAACTCCCTACATGTGGATTCATTTTCTTTGGAATGTTTTCATCCACTGTTCAATTTTTCACTTTTTTATTTTTAACTCCAGTTATTTCGGGGGTTGGGATGTTGTTGAGTTTTTGTGTTGGGTTTTTTGGATTTTTTTTTTTTTAAAGTACCTGACCTCAATGTATGGTATCTATGTGATACTCCATAGCATCTGATTTGCTACAATCTGTGTAGTAAAGACTAAATTTCCACTATATGCTTCTGACACCTAATGTAACAAGGCCCAGAGACATTCAAAGGTCACGGCCATGGTGGCAATAAAGCATAATAATATTAATTATAACTTTAAAAATGACAGTGGATCAAATCTAAAATTGACATAAAATCATTAGTCTTAAATAACAATACCCATTTCTCTAAAATACTTCTCAAGGCTTTTCTAAACATACATTTACTGCGTTCTTTAGGAATATAAAAATAGAAAGCCACTGCAAAGCCCTGAAAAGCAGTGATGGAGTTTGCAAAGGCAAATGGCAAAGGCTGGGTTGGACCAGCCCCATACTTAAATTACACTGATCCTGCAGATGGGCAGAAGCATGAAATCAGTGCTGTGGTAAGCGTGGAATGGAGCACAGAATTAAACCAGGCACAAAGACTTCAAGGGGATCTGGTTGCAGAATCAGATATTTGCCACCGTTCCTATTTTTTTACTACTCCCTTCCCTTTGTCCTCCATTTCCACAGAGCTGATTTTCAGCATTTTCTTGATGATGGACTTTCTGATTTTCTCAGGGCTACTTCCACATTCTTTGAAATTTTTCTCAGACTTCCAAGACTTGAGTTGTATTAGTTCTATTTTTTTTCCTTTGTGTTTCAAATACTTCTGTATTCTGTAAAGTACCTGGGTATCAGTTTCCCAGTAGCCTCTGTTTTATGGTTTGATGGCTGTTCTTTAAGCATATACACCACCTATTCTCCAAATTAATGGCCATCTTTGGAGGTGCAACTGTTGGATGAGTATTCATTGGAATGCTTTTATTTAGACTTTCATTTTTGTGAAAACAAAAAGCAAAACCAAAACAACAACTTGTTGACTGCACAGACAGGGACTAATTTTAAAAATCTACTTAGTTTTGAAAACCTACTGTCCTCTAAAGTCTGATTTCAAAGCCTTTATTTTCTAGTGATGTTAAAACCAAAGTGGAACAGAGGCTTACTAGCCTGATCTGAATCTCTTAGAAGAGGACATAAATTCATTGTGTAGCATTCCCCCAGGAATTAGGTAGAACAAATCTTTTGTGGATTATAATCTCAACTCGAAGATTTTATTCCCATAACACAGCTAGTTGTGTGAATTATGTTTGCTTCCTTACACTGAAGCTTATGATTTATTTTGGTTTCAACTTTGTAGAATAATAGAATTTCTCACTGGCGTTGTTTGTGTTGTAAATCTTTATAACCCAGGAGTTGTAATGGATAGAGTTAGTGTTCATATTCATCCATGCTCATTTTTGCAAACAATAGGACAGTATCAGCATGTGCTAACCTAGTACAGAGGAGGGGATTGAAGGATTTGGAAAATTGGTCCTGTACGGTTTAACGGATCACTACTATTTAGAGGAATGTGTTTTGACTGCAGAATACTTTTCTTCCCATTCCTCCTGCTGAGCCTCCCAGAACATTCAAATATAGAAGCAATTAAGTGAATTGCAATAAAAACACTTCATGCTTTCCCCTTTCTGTACCATGGACATGGATCACATTTGAGTGTACAATTGATTGCAGTGGATAAAAACTGATCTGTAAAGCCCAAGGAAATAATTCAAAACAGTTACTGCTTCTGTCTAGCAGTTCCAAACTTCTTGTCAGTCATACTAGTGTATGCAGCTGCCAGTTAATATTCTAAGAATCAAAAGAGAGAAGCTTGTAACACAAAGACACGACAGAGAGTCCCTTAAATTAGTTTATTAGAGTATTCACATAAATGAATGTAAAGCATTTTTATGTGAAATACAGCTAAAACATTAACCTATGGAAGTAAACATCAGTCAAATCAACGTTCTGTGGCAGCTGTTTGGTCACAGGTATCAGAACTGATAGCCATAAAAAAAGGTTCTTGGAACACACAGAGCTTGTCTGACATGCACGTTTTTTCTCTCTGTCCTCCCAGTTACATTTCTCAGCTCCATATACAGCTTCTGGCGGGTCCCTGCATTTGTGGGACTTGTTAAATGACTGTTACAGCTGTGCCTGTACTGGCTCTATCTTCCCAAAATACTCTTGGTGAGTGAATATCCAAAGGTAGTCCTTTTCCCTGGAAGTCAGTGGTCTGTAAACCTGTGAAGTAAGAATGCTGTGAAGTAATTATTGGCTGTTAAAAAATATTTGCCAGACACTTTACACAACCAAAGCTGAGACTGAAGTACAGTGTAATATGCACCTTATCGCTTGTTGGTGAGAAGTCATTTAAGCCGTGTAAGATGCTGAAAAAACTTTGCTATGAGTTACACAATTTCTTTACATTATACAAAAACTCTTCTAGAATTATTTGTAGCTGGTTAATAAGACTGGAAAACGTGGCTGAACAAAATACTTACTTAGCATTTGATTACACCTGTACACAAATACAGAAACCAGTGTTGCTTAGGCTGCAAATCAAATACTCAGAGCTTCCACAATTATGATACCAATGTATCCCCTTCTCCGTTTGCAGTCTGATAGTACATGTATGCCAAGTTACAAGCTGTGAAGGGAATTTGTACAAGGAATAAAGAAGCTCTGCCTGTGTCCTTCAAGCTTTACATTCCCTCTGCACCATCTCCATCCCACCTCAGAATGGATCCTTTTTTGCAGACTCCTCAGCCTGGTCTCTTCTTCCTCCTGAGGAGTATTCAAGCCAACCCCACTGAGGATTTTTAATGACACTCCTACTCTTCCTGCCTTTTAAACTGTAGCCTTCAGAGAGTTTTCTGGGCTTTTTGTCCAGTCCATGTATTTGCTCTTTGTTCTGCCCTAACAGAGATATGTTGATAATATCCTGTTGGAGAAGATGGGAAAAAAATGGCTATGACAGAAAGGAAAAGTTTCTTTGTTCAACAAGGTGAGAATAAGAAGGCATTTCATGTACAGTCAGCAACTTTTTTATCTTTGGGATTTGGGGGTGGAGGCAGCAATTACTTTCCTTGGTTGTCTTATAAATGTCTGAGTAATATTGCCTGAGTTTTTAATAAGTCAGTCTGGGGCAGAGTTATGACTTAGAAGGGCTTTATGCAAAATCCATACATTTTTGAGAAATGCTGAATAGTTATAAAAAGACTCTAAATAATATAAAATATAAATAGAATTTTTTTTATGCTAAGATGAACACTAATTATACAATTGTGTTAGTGTAAAATTTGTTTCTGTGATGGTACAGAATTTCTTGTGATGTGCAATTCTATCAGGAGGGAAACTGGCTACTGGTGACGTGTTTTCCTGGTTCTCACTTGGCCACATCCACATGGAACTAGTTTTTCAATCACTGTGGTTATGTCATGAATCCAGGTTAAAAAACCAACCAACCAACCAACCAAAAAAAACCAGAGGATTTGTAGTTGAAATAATAAAAAAAAGTTTTCCTAGGCAAAAAACCCCTGAGCTATGAGCATTTACAGAAAATGAAGCTTTATATGCATATTATAATTACTAGTGTTGCATTTACTTGAAGAGATATCATTACATTACAGCACAGTTATTTTGAAAGAATGTCTTACAAGCTTATTTAGACATGTTTTCAGCTCTTACATACAGAGTTTAATTTACCAATTACTTCTGGCTTTGGTATAATGTTATTTTACTTAAATACATATGTGCTTATACAGTGAAAAAAGATTTTTTTTTCCTCAATGCTTAGGCAGAATTGTCAAATCTGAAGCTTTACATTTTAATGTTAAAATCTGCAATGTTAAAAAAAAAGTGTTTAGCATTGACAATTACAGAACAAAAAGTCATGGCAAAGAGGTATGCACCAGAAAATGTTTGGGAAAAATAACCTGTGACATAATTTCATATAATGTAATATATTTTCTTTGTCCATGATTAACTGGATAAGTAGAAAGAAACTCGAATTTCAGAAAAGAAAAAGAAAGATAAAATGATTTATTAGAAACTATTTGCAGCAGAAAGAATGAAAATAGGTTGCCTGGAAAAGCTGTGTAATCTCTAGCATTGGAGATATTTCAGAACATATTAGATACAGATATGTCGGAATGACTTAAATAAATTTAGACAGCTGGAAAGAGGATAGGTTAAATAACCCCTGTTTTTTTGACTGAAAACTGTGAAGGCACTGAAGTAGTCAAAATAAATAATATGTAATGTTTTTAGTTTCACATACAGAAATATAGGCAAATATTTACACAACAGGTGTTGGGAATTTCTGTGCCATTCCAAGGAGATTTTTACTGACCTGATTCCTCAGTAATAATGAAAGCTTACGGATTAATTTGGGGGGACTTAGTAATGAACAAGAATAGAGATAAATGAAAAGAATGCTAATGAAATGTGAATATTTTCAAAAATCAAAATCCACTTTTTTTACTCACTTAACTCTGCCCAGCTCCATTGAAAATCCTAGTTCCAGGCACTGTTTCCTAACATATTCTCATGCAGTTGGTGTAAGTTTAAATATTCCAAAAGCAAGTGAAACTGTAATTTGCTTTGCTGGACAGGGCCACAGTGCAGTTCAGATCCACAGCCCGCCCTCAGTCACACCTTCTCCTCACCACCTTCTCTCGGATAACACCTCATAATGCCTGAAAACATAAAGATCCATCCCAAAAGCTCTGAGGGACCTAAGTTTATTAAAAACACATGTTCATAACTCTATATAGGAACAGATTTTCCCCTTGAGGATAGAAAGGAAAGGGCTCTGAATTAAATGTGAATGTGACTTATTAGCCCCATGATAGCAACCCATTTTCTTACCTTACTGTCTGTCTCCTTAGCAACTGTTTGTGGTTCCCAAAATGTGTGCTTTAAATAACTCTAAGAATATTATTTCAGTCTTAAAGACAAAGTGTTGCTGGTGTCAACTTAATAAAAGTGAACTATCTACTGCAAATTATTTGAAACAGGAATATTGCCCATTATTGATGTTCATGCCTCAAACCAATTAATACAGGAGTTCTGGTATGGGTTTCTTGAAAACAAGCTGCTACCATTGGAAATGACCTGGTAGTTAATTTTTCCCCTCTCAGAACTGGAACATTTTCCATGCCAAGAAATGTGGAGAAGAAACTACTATGCAAACTGTATGATTTTTGGAAACTGCTAATTACATTTCCCCTGGCTGCATCAACCTCAGGGCTTACTATTTTGATGTTCTGCTGAGATTATCATCAGCATTTCGGCTCTTTGAACACAGATCTTAAGATGTTACAGCCACATCCACATGTTTTTATGCTTAAGTTCAACAAAGGCCTTTAGGACATTAATGGAAGTGTTTGCTCATGAAAATGTGTGTCAGGACCATTGTGCTCATGAGAACTTCAGGGACCTTTGTTACCTGAAAAGGAATCGCCCTTTCCTGTTCTGCCCCTGTTTGGCAGCACTTCCTTGAAGGACCTCTGGAGGCAATGTCACCCACCTAAGAGTGTGGATCTGTGGCAGTTTTGGCCTGTAAATTCACATTAACTTTAGGACACCATCTTATTTGCGGATTAGGCAAAATCTGTGCCTGTTGCACATCTGCAGTAGTGATGGGACTATTGAGCGAGGCCAAAGGAACCTGCAACATGCAGTGACTTTAGTACATGATCACAGAGCTGGTGGTCAGAAGAGATGTGGAATATTTCAATGGAAAGATCCAAAGAACTCTTTCCCTTTCGCCTGCCCTATTCCCCTTCCCCCTTTACCATCCCCCATATTTTCATTACTGAAGAATGAAAGGCAGTTCAATACAAATTAAATTAAATACAAATACTTCAATACAAATTAAATTAGTTATTACCATATCAATTTCAATTGGGCTAGTAGGAACAAGCAATTATAATAAGTGGGAACTTAAAAGGTTTACTACTGGCCATTTTAATTCACAAATGGCCTGGTTAAGAATTTCTTACATGAGAAATGCTCCTGTTGGGCTTCAGAGGAATCTGTGCTCAAGCAGCAGCATTTCAGCACGTGGCCAGAAATGATGAATCTTAACAAACATATTCATATACTGTGTTTTGGAGATTTTTTATATGGCACATCAGTGCAACGTCTACAGATATTTTTAAAACATCAGCATTAAACTGACAGGAGAAATTACAGAAAGTGATTTGAGGAGATATAGTAATAGGAAGAAACTAATTGAAATATAGTAGATTATTGAGGGTGGAGAGATACTTGCATCAGGACTGGGACACAGCAATAGATTTTTCAGCCTGATGGTTAGCACACTGATTTCATGGTCACAGTGAACATTTAAATTCATTTATACAAAGTCCTAAGCAGAAAAGGAAAGAACATGGGCTAAAGGTTCCTGTAGAGTTCATGCCAGAACTTTTTTATATTCTCATCTTCCCCCCTCCAGGATATTCCAGATCCCTGTCACCTCGCTGTTTCTTGAAGACCTGAATCTTTCACCCTGTTCTGTCAGCTTGCCCAGTTGTTCAATCCAGCTGCTGTTTTTGCTGCCAGATAGCCTGGATTAAACAGGAGGAGTTGATTTCAAAAATACTAATGAGGGTATGGTTTCTGACTGCCAAGGAAAAGGTGTGAACTGCCAGTTTGGTGGCAAGGAGGGCACTGAGCATTTTCAGAACAGGGAAGGATTGGGAAAGGGTTCTACAGCAGTATCTGAACACAAGTAAATATATATAGTTTTGTTAAAGGCTAGAGATGTGTTACTTTATTACAGCTAAGGATTAAACCCTGTCTCTGGAGCTCTTTCCTGACATTGGTGCTCATTTCATATCAAAGGTGTAAAAATCTGGTTTAGATGTCTAGGAGAGATTCAGAGCTATAAAGCAATATAAAGGATGAGTAAGAAATGTCTTATAGGAAAATCCATGGATATCAAGGGATATAAGTTGTATTTGTGCAAGTTATGATTGTGTAAATACTTTTGCACAAATTTCTGGGTCTGCCTCCTCCTGTGGTTACCCAGAAGAGCACATGAGCACGCAGTCAGAACTAGGCTAAAAATCCTGCCTTCCTCATCTCTGGACTCTGTACTGGGTGGTGCTCCTGGTGAAGGATAAGCAGGCTGCTTTGCACAGCAGCAAAATAGGATCCCTGTATTTAGGGATTTTGCAGAACTGCTTGTTTTCAAGGTTTTCTTTTCAGCCTGTTGAAAATTTAAATCACAAAAAATCTGCACAAGTTATAAATTGTAATACACTCTGTTTAGATGTGTCTTGTGGTTTGTCTCATAGTCAGAGTGTGATGGATGCACTGAGCACTTTTAAAATATTCATTCTCACATCCTTTAGGATGTACCCCAAGAATTCACAAAGCTATCATTGCTCAGTTCTACTGTACTGTTTTTACATTGTCAGTTTTTGGCACTTAAGCACATTATTAACGTGTAGCTCCATTGTTTACTTAGTATTACAAAATCATTTTTCATTCTGTAGAGGATATCTGGAAATTACATCCTCTTCCATTATATCCTCTTCCTTTTCTACCTGGAAATTATATCCTCTTCCAATTATATCCTCTTCCCTGTAAACCACCTATACTTTGTGAACAGCAGAGCTTGTTTCTCTAATGAGAAAGAGAACAGTACTTGGCATGTGTTAAAGCATTCCAAAGTGATCCTCAGCAGTTGGCTGGGTTTTAATTTTTTAATAATATCTAACAGTTTATTTGATATAAAGTTTGAAGACAGCTCACTATGGTTCTGTAATATAAAAAAATAAGCAAGAAATTACAATTGAAATAAGATTTAACTGTCTTTTAGGTTGATTTTTCTTACAAGTATAACATTGTATTATTTTTTTAATGTGGTTGAGTTTGTCCTAAAGAGCACTGTAAATGTGTGTTCAGAGTTGAACATACATAAGATCGTTTACTCTCTTCCAAACTAACCTTCATTTGTGTTTGCATTACTTTCTGCTCTTAAGGAATTTTTCCATGTTTTTGTGCCTGTGGTTAGCAGGGAAATTTCTGCTGATGGATCCTGAAGGGATGTATGATGGATCCTGCTGTGATGTGTGGATCCTGAAGGGAGTAGCTGGACGGTGGTTTCAGCCCTCCCTGTTAAGTTCAGTAGTTCAGCCCGCAAAGACAGATGTGGTTGTGAATCTTTCAGCACAAAGATGTGTAAACAAAATGCCTTTCCCCACACTTTTTAAAGAATAGAACAATGAAAATGATGAAGAATTAGTGATCATTGAACTCCCTTTTATATAGCTTTGTAAGCTGTAAATCATTTAGCTAGGCTGAAAACCGAGATTTTCATTTTCTTTCTCCATGAGACAGTATGTCATGGCATCTGCAGGTGGAAGCCTGAACCATTCAGAGGAAAACTGGTTTGGAATAAGAAAGGGTCTCCTCATACTTTGCTGAAGCCAAGGAAAGCATCTGTTTGTTTAAGCTGTGTTTGGCTGGGGGAAAAACCTGAGGTAGTGCAAGATCCCTCTCAACTTCTTAGAGAAGAAAAAGAATGGTCATTTCTTTTCTACAGGATTTGCTAATGCATAAACCCTTGGACCTCTACTAATCATCCATAAAATCGGTGGGGACTGCTCAGTTCTCAAGATATTGAAACTTCTGAGCAGGGGTGAAAGCAGAACTGTCCAGGGAGCTTTTAATGCATGTGCAAAGCCTTTAAAGTAGGTCAGCAACATTTGAAGTTGGGCATCCTGAAAGCACGAGGCTGCTCCTTTAAATTGCAGGGGAGGGGGAAGAGGAACTTAATGATTTCCACTTTTTGATCAGAAAAATCTTTATAGCCCTTAAATCCTTTCTAAATCCTTGTGGGGATCTTTTAGTTTTATTATGTGCTTGATGGCCACGAAATATTGGAAGGAAATTGGATGTGACAGTGTCAGGAAGATTCTGTATGTAGCATTTCCGTGTTCGTTGTGACTCCAGTTGTGCTGCAGTTCCCTGTGTTCCATGCTGACCATTGCATGAGTGAGATGGATGAGCTGCTGGGAGAGGAATTCAGACACTGGGACGACGCAATCAGTGGCTACTGAGCTAGCACGTAATGTGGAACAAGGGTATGGAATGTGGAACCAAGGTATCCATCATCATCATAGACATTTACAGGTGTGATTCTGGAGGTATCCAGCTAGAGCCCCATCATGTAAGGGAGTGGTACTTTAGGATTCCTAAATGCAAATAGGATGGAAGTACTGCCAATACTTCACAGGAGAAACCACGTCCTGATGCAAGTCAGCAGATACTTTTCCATAAAAATTTAGTGAGGCCAGAATCTCATTGTGTATCTAGGTTGGCAGGCTGGTTTAGGTCCTATATTCTGTGACTATCCTGTTAATTCAGGGACTTAGGAATGTTCTTTTTTCCGGTTGGAAGTATTACATTTTAGCAATCTTTTTCAGTATTTTTCTTTCTCTGTTATACAGGTATTTGTACTCACAAATTATCAACAACTAAAAATTCACATTTTTTTGTGATTATATCACCCAATATTTGATCAAAGATTATCTTAGTTTGCCATATAAGTATAATTAGATATCCTACACAATAAGATAGATGCTGAAATTTTTCTGTTTGGTTCTCCTAAGGTGCAGAGGGAGCCCTTGTGAGCTGTATAGTTCAACCA